ACTAATCTTTTTCAAAGCACACACTTTCAGTGTGATGTTAAGAATGTAAATAATTTATATAGTAAGAGAATATTAATGAAGTTTATTCCCAATCCTAACTGAAAATAGAGCATTCTGTTCAGTTTTGATCAGGATATGGGGATATGGATCCTCCAGAAGAAGCCTAGTTGAATTAACAGTTTGCTGTAGAAGGTTTCGTAGTCTCAGGTGCTTCAGGAAGATTCCTGATTACCACTGCATTGAGTGACACTGCTCTAGCAAGCAGATCTGGTAGAAGAATAATAGCTATTGTCAGCTTGAAGAAAGAATTGGGGAATGAAAAGCAGGTCTCTTATACATACAGCAGCATGTGGAATACAGATATCCAGCTATGGCTGATCCAAGGTGGTGCACAGCTGACGTACGGAAACAGACTCTATAACTCGAAAGTTATAAAGTAGGTACGTTTATTGCGTGCAGATGCACGGGGGATCGCTCCACCACAAACGTGCATACCCGAGGAGGCTTGAAATTTCTTGGGTGTGTGATTTTAACTGTTATAATGAGAATTATGTATAACATTCCAGATGTGGTCTCAATGGGGTGTTGTACTATGGTGTTGTCTCTTTCTTTTTCTGCTCCAGTGAGTATGTTCCCAAATTGTATCTGCCCTCCCCACAGCTGTCTCACATTGATGAACCTGGTTGTTAGGCAGCTCTGTTTTGGAAGAACTCGTGTACAGTTGTTTGGTACAATCTCTTTATTAAACTTTAACTATAAACCATTTTCCCATTAACTATGTTATCTCATGCTTTCACTTTTTTGTGTATTTTTGTGTGAATTTTTGCATGTTATTAAGATAGTTTATATTAATCTGTGACTTCCCTACTGAAAAAAAAATCGGAAGTATAGTTGCTGTTCCCCAGTCATTATAGAAATTATACTTTCTTCAAAGTTTTTACTTTAGGGAGGACAATCTTATTTGTCACTTCTTCCATAATTTTAAGAAATTATTTTTGACTGCATTAACGCTTATTTTTAAAAAATAATTTTAAGTATTGCTATTCTCCATTTGTCATTTTCCTATCTGAGACAACACATATAAGGACTTGGAGGTTGGGGATTCACTCCTGACTATTCTTTATCTTCATTCCATTGTCTCTGTTTAGTATACAAGTTTTCTTTTTTATTTCCTACTTAAGTACAAAAAAGCCTGAAAGCCTTAACTTTTCTGTATAATAACCTGTTCAGGTATAGTTTAGCTTTACTTTTATGACATACCTAAGATGCAGTTTTCTGTGCCAATTTTTCTTTCACTTCACTACCTTCTCTATCTCCTGCTATTCTTGATAGGATCCCAGCATGTTTCTCATGTGCTACTTGCACAATGTTATCAATAATTGGCTTATCAAACATCTTTTTATCCCTTCAACTTGAGGCATGGATCCTTAAACATTTTAGCACCTTTTTATTAAATGCCAGGCTTCTACTGTACCTTGGATGTCTTTGCTAACCTTTGTTATCAAATTATTTGGGTGTATGCCGCTGAAATTCTAAGACCTGATTATAAATCCTTTTGGGATTTTTCATTCCTTATTTAAATAAAAATCTAGTAATACATGGATTAGGTTACAAGCAGCTGTTTTATAATGTCCTTATTAGTGAGAACAGTCTTGAAGTAATGGAGTCTTTTGCTGCTTCAGTAGATATTTCATGAATTTATCAGCTATTAGCTCCAAGAGTAACTAAGCCTTTCTGTTTCAGAGTTTGATTTGTTCTCCATTTTGTGTCTGGGTAATTAGTCTAACATACTACAATTGGCTTTATTTTTATCTAATGTTAAAGATCTGTATCCATATCAAACACTGATGCTGGAACAAATGCCTCATTAGTCTAATGTCTTGAACAGAACCTGTTTTACCTACTTCCCTTCCCCAGAGGACTTGATACAAACAGATTTCTGTTTCTCCTATCTGTTATATTTATTCCAGTTTGACATGTCACTGACACACATTGTTCTACTCTTTGTTTCTGCTTTGATTATTGTCTGTTCCTCAGTACTTGCATTCTCAGTCCCAGGTGCTGTCTTACCATGCTGTGGTTACTCTGTCATGTTTTGTTCTGCACTCTGTGTCAGTAATTTAAGCTTCTCTTGCAGACAGACACGACCAGATAATTCATGATACTCATAAAATACACAGCTTGATTTTCATCATCATATCTCTTGGTAGTTTTTATCCATTCTTCCCCACTGTTAGTAGTGTATTGAAAACAAGTGTGAAAATGTCCCTGTAAAGTTTAAAGTTCTCTGTGTCAGTAATGCAGGCTGTATTCCAGAAGAGTTATTTCCACAGGTGCTTGAAGCTGGCCTTTGAGAAAAACCTTTTTCAGATAATCTTCCTTATGGTTCCTAAAACCTTCTGGACTGATCGTCAAAATATTTCTTGGACACAGGGAAACTGCTCTGTGCGTCTTTATAAACACAACCTTCTCTATTCAAAAGATTATTTTTGGTTTACTGTGGATAATCCCACACCAGTGTACTCTTCTTTATTTTCTCCATTAGATAGAACTGCCTAACCTTTCTTTGTTAGGATTGAGTATTTTCCCGTCACGCTTTGCTTATTGTTAATAATTTGGGAAATGTGCAACCATCTATTCTTCTTGATTGCTGTAATGCAGAAGAAACGGGGTTGTTGCACGTATACCAAGCGCATCCTCCAAAAGCATCAAACTCTGTTGTGTTGCTTTAATTCTTACAAGTATATTTCATCTTCTGCTATCTTATTCTTGAATCCTGCACTAGTAGTCCAGGTTCTTACATTTTTGTACCCGTATTTTAGTAATTTCTTAATAAGCAAATCCCTTCCATTTGTATCTCCTGTTAATTTTTCTTTTAGCTCTTGCATGCTGAATGTTAGTGATTTACTGACCATGTGCCTTCTCTGCTACAAAATTCCTGAAAATCTTAAATGCTCAAAGGCTGTTCATCTAAATTTGGTCTATTTGTAAACTGGACATAATAAGGTATATATTATGATTACCTTATTTCTAGAATTATTTGCAAAGTCACTGCTTCTGAATTTATTATGTTCTGTAACATTTTTAAAGTGCTTTATGATCACAAGTTTTTAAAATTAAACTTGTGTAGGCTTCTCAAACTGCAAATAGTGTCTTTTTTTTTTTACATACTGAGAAGCAAGAAAGAGATTGTACGAGGTAGATTCCTGTGATTTTGCGTTTGTGGTTTGATGCCTAGGGAGGGAGTGGTGGTATGTGTATTAAGGGTAAAAGCGATATACTAGTGTGAAGGGAGGAGGTTATTGGTAATTTTTCCATCTCTCTTGAGTAAAATAATGGACAGACTTGAACATTTTTTCTTACAGTCATAGGTAAACGAATATCTAGAGAGGACTGATCTGCTAAAGGAAATATGACTTTAAATTATATAGTTCACTGTATACTCAAATAGGATTTACTGGTAGGAAGAAAACTAACACTAGTGGAACATACTGCTCTGTTCTACAGTCTTACAGGACATCAGATAGGACCCCATGTGACCTTATTTACCTTGCTTATCCACAGGTGCTCATTCTCTTTAACTCACTGACCTACCTTTCATTTCCCCCTCAGTTCCACCAACACACACATTTTACAATTACGGGAGTGTGATTATTTTTTAAATTTACATGCTGGGTAGATTCTGCAAAGGACGTTCAGTGCAACACGAAAGCTTTAGCTACTGTAGCTTGCTGAGGCACTTGATGTCATTTCTGATTCTTGAGAAAACCCTCTGGCAGTTTGCAGTTACTATTAGCAGCCTTGAAGTTTGTATTTGGGATAAGAAAGTTCTGAGCTTTCACACATGCCCACCCTCTACACCCTTCTCAGTCTTCCCACACAAGCCATATGACCAGTCATACAAATTTTTTCACTTAGGATGATTAAGGTTGCACTGGAATAAAATGCCAAAGTATACCTGCGTTTAAAAACAGAAAGTAGGCTACCAGTTTTGTGTGCAGTTTATATGCATACACTCCCCCTGCCTTGTGTTCTTTAATCTTGCAGTTTAGTAAAAATTATTTTTTAAAACAGTATTTTTCCAGTGCATTATTTGTTCCAGATGCTGTGACTCCTGTAAAGGTGCATACCAATTGACTTCCTCCTTTATTGTCACATTACGTGCATATTCTTATATTATCCTGGAAGCTATCTACATTAACCTCTGTGGAGAACCTTCTACTGATACACGGAATGTAAAAGGAATGTGCAATCATCATCTTAGGAGGTGATGCACTTCATATGTCTTGCTTCTGTTATGAATAGTTTGCTGCATATTTGGTAAATCATGTGCTTTCTTCAGGTTATCATTTGTAAATGTTCAAAATGTTCAAAATTCAAGTCAAACATCAATTCACAATGTGATGGCAGCATAACACAGAGCGGAGCAACATTTTCTTATTGATTTTAGCAATGCTGAATCTATCTGATCTAATGGTGCCTTTCAACATAGCCTCTTCCATTTCCTAGAGTAGAAGTCGGTATCATAGAGAAGGAACTTGCATCAGTACCAAGTTGTTTTCTTTAATGAGTTATATGTTGGAGAGCTATCATCTGAGCCAGTTAATGGAAAAGACTTCCTTTCTCATAAAAGTAGTAAAGATTTTCTTTAGTGAAGATGACTCTCTTCTCTTCAGCACATGAAATACTGTTCTCATCTATCCTGCTAATTTCACTAAGCCATAATGTCTTGTTTAACTTAGAAAAAAACGAAATAAAATAATCTTGTCAACTACTGTTTCTGTCCAGTTGAAAAGGCCATCTTGTAAAAACTAGTTACTTTGACCATGTAAGATATTTTAGTTTATTGTAATTACTTCATGAAACAATTATTTAAATTAACACTGTCTTTGAAGTTATGTTTTCTCCGGTTTGGTGTGATGCTGGCTATCTTTAAAAATGTTTTACTTGAATTGAAATATCTTTTCTTTCTCATTTAATTTCCTTTCCCATGTCACTAGATTACTGTTTACAAAAGTCAAACTGGAGTCCCTGTGTAGAGGCCCAGATGAAGCACTCCTTACCTGTAAACACATGCTCCAGATTTGGAAATCCTGCTACAATCTCACTAACCCAAGGTAAGCTGCTGTAGAGCTGTAGCTGCCTAGTACCTTGCTCAGTAGCCTTTCAGGGAAATACTAGGTCAGTAGTCCTGCTTTTACTTGGTCTGGTGTTTAGTATGAACAAACTAATCCTCTGGGAATCTGGAGACTGAAGTGCAGAGATACCAGTTGATGGACATGCAGAAGCTACCCAGAGTTCTGTCAAGTGAGGTACCCCAAAGCTAATAAACTCTGAAGTGATGATGAATGATGACAGAAATTGGGTAACACTACCATTCTCCTTGATGGGGCTCACTATACTGTTATTGTTTTGATTTTTTTCCTCAGTCTGGATTATAGAACCTTTTATATTGGCTAGTGGAGAGATTGCTGTGGTGGAAGTTCAGTTCAAGGACTTTCAGAAAACAAAATGAAGGACTAGATGTTAAGACAATAAAGACATCAGAGTTCACATGGATAAATACCATGTGCTTGCAAAGCCAGCATGTTTTTTTTTTTAAAGGGAGGTGTTGCTTATGAGTCTATTTAGGTGCTTAAAAGGCATTGATGGGTATTTGGATAAGTTAATATAGTCCTATTTGAGTTTCCAAAATGCTTCTGTGAAGGTCCTTTGCCATATACGTTGAGCTAAGATGTGAAATAAAGACACAGGCCACTGCAGAAATGTGTGATGGTACCATTCAACACATCTATCAGGTAAATGAAGGAGAGGGCAAGAAGCATTTCCTGCTATGTAGTTATTTGAAGGGTTGACAGTTTATGGAAAAGACATGCTGCAGCAGAAGAGCTTTCTACCAGGTGGCATCAGATACTTGTGTTACCAGTGTGATGAGTATTACCTGCTTGGTTTTTGCTCTTACTTTGTTTGATCTCAGTTATATAAAAAACATGCATCTCTTCAAAAATATTGAGAGAGTTGACCTAATGGCCGAAGAGGGAAAATGGCTTCTCTCCTTAGCCAAGCTAGTGAGCAGTTCAGAGCAGGAAAGTTGGGAGGGTCTGGGAGGTTTGGAAGCAGGAAGAGCCTGAGAAGGGACCAGAGTCAGTCACAGTGCCTTAAGAGAGACTCTGATACTGAGCAAGGAGCAGGACTTGGGGGTTATAGAAAGCAAGTACATCAGCAGCAGGAGAGAATTTCCCTTTTAACTTGCTGGGTGGTGGTTGATTTTGGTTGGCTGGTTGTGTGTGGAGGGAGGTGCATTTAGGAGTTTATTGTCAGAATGCTACGTTGTGCAGAATAGTTATTTTCTCTGTAAGCTTAATTTCAGTGAAGCTTTGCATGTATTCCAGCACAATTTTTCACCTTCCGTCTCTGCTATTACACCTTCTACACAGATCATGGCTTGTCATTACTTTTTTGTGGTGGTTGTTGTGCTAAGAGCTACTGTGCCATGTTAAATACATGTTAAATAATGCTCCTTTCAGACATGAGCAGGGACTGTGAAAACTTGCTCTTGGCTATGTCAGCTTCAGACAGCAGTTTGCTAACTCTGATGTCACTGTTCTCATTCAAGAACATCTACAGTGGGAAAATTAATGAGGACTACTTTGCATCTGATAGTTTTTGCTGCCTTTTTTTTTCCCCCTTGACACTTAAAGCTTTTCTTGAAGTTCTGGTCTGTAGTAACAAATTAAAATTAGGGATGGAATGAACAGGGACTGTGGATAAGTGTTCATGATGGAAGGGCACAGGTTTCCTGAATCACGCATTGAGATTGATATCAAACAGTGAATATGGAAACCAAGCTGTAACTTTTCTCTGGATGGGCCAGGTGAAATTTAAGGGCTGAATACCTTCATGTATTGTATTGTGGTGATCCAGATCTGTCTGATTTGGAACTACTATTATCACTCAGACCTGTAATGTGACTGGGAGGTTCTGTTCACCCAACTGCAATCCAGACATAGTGAAGAACAATGGTGCAAGATTGTTGTAAAAACTTAAATTTTCCAACCTCTGTAATTTTAACACACTTCATTTTGCCAAAAAGCACTGTGTGGAAGTTAAGTCTCCCACTGGTAATAATTGAAGCTTTTTTTAATAGTTCTTTAAGCCATTAATAAAAGGTCTTTTAATAATTTAAAACCTTTTTAGAATGTTGTTTTTCAAAAGATTTGAATATCCTTATGCTCATTTGAAACATCTTTTTGTATTCTGATTTAGACTGACAACTAATTTTGATATATTATTTTCCCAATGAGATGAGAACACTTTTGATATGCTGTGTTTTATGTTAGATATTTCTTCTTGCAAATAATCAGACTTTTTGAAGTAAATTTAGGTTCAGTGTCCTTTCAGGATGCCTAATCTTTTGATAACGAAAATACTTTATGCATAACTAGAAACACCACACAAAAGACTAAATGCAACATTGTGCCTTACCTTTGTTCAACTGATTTAGAATAATTTTTTCTGTAACTGTCATGTAAACATTTTGCTTGTAAGATGGTTAATACAAAATTTAAATTTTCTGGCACAAGGCTTTATACGTTTAAATGTTAATCTTCAGCCTACTGCTTGAAGATCTGTAGAAAATAGTTAATTTCTTTCCCGGTTCTTAGTTTGTATTAGGAAAAGAGAACAAGCCACAACACCAGGGCTGTGGATAGAAGATATTTACGCTAGGGCTGGGTGACTGCCTTTCCTTGTCAGCGACATTTGGCATGTTATTGCTTGTGGTTAAATGAGGTTTTCAATAAAGCATTAATTGATAGTGGATAGTACCAAACTTCCAATCCTAAGTATGAAATCACTGTATTAACCATAGAGTGTTAAAGGTGTGCCTGTATGTGCTTCCTCATGCTTTTCTGATGTTTCTCAATACCTGCTTCATCTAAAGGAGAAGGAGCACTTTGTCCTTCAGTTGCTGCTTTTTGCTGAATCTTTAATAACAGTTCTAGGAGCAATTACTTTTCCAGCAAGTGTATCAAAAAGAAGGCTGAGGGACAGATACTGAATTACAACTCAAGTAGAAATCGAGTGCATTTGTCCACAGGAGCAATCAGTGAAAACCACAGCTACTGCTTTGGCTCCTGAGGTGTTCGAATTGTTCAAAAATGCTCCTACTGCGCTGTTAGTATCAAGTTCAGCATTATGCCTGTGTATGGATATTAAAAAACGTATGTATATGTGTATATTAAAAAACAAAAACCTCTAGAGAAAAAAGTGCCTTTTTGAGTGAAATGTAGTTATGGCATCTTTATAACATCTTTACCTAAAATTAGATGCCCTGAGTTTAGTGTTTCTCTTCAGTCTGGGAAAAGTATGGATTTTCAAACTTTTATCTGCCATCTTGGCTTCCTGTGAGAGCTGTACCTCACTTTATAGAAAGGTTTAAGGTACAACAAATCCTTTCTGTAAAGCTGTTAGCTATGAATCAAATTTTAAGCTTGTGTTCCGTTCGTGGTTGTATTAATTATGAAAACAGAATTGGTGAAGTAAATATGGATTTAGTTTTGCTCAACTTAATTCTGTTTTAATGCCGCTGGCTTAATACACTGTTAGTGGCTAGTGTTACGTGGTACTAAATCTGTTCATAGCAAGAACTTTTATAGCAAGAACCTTTGTGGGAGGAGTGCAGCTTGCAACTTATATCTCAGTATATAGCTTTATAATTTAATAGCTTACAATTTCTGTACTTCATTACAGCGATTCTGGACGTGGGAGCAGCCTGTTAGACAGAGCTATTGCTGACAGACGGCAGCTTAATACAATTACATTACCAGACTTCAGTGATCCTGAGACAGGTAAGAACTGCATTTGAACAATAATTTTGGTTAAATGGTCTGGTCATAGCTAGATTTTGCTTTTTTTTGTTGTTGTTTTATTTTGAAAAATTAAATCACGTTTTCATTGTTATCATGTAAGAGGAAATAGCTGTTTTGCAATTTAAGATTTTTGTATTCTTATTTGTGAAGTACTTGCTTACCATGTTCTCTGCAAATTGATATATCTATAGTATGTGTCTTGCTGAGCTTAGTAGTATTTTCTTATGCAAGAGGTAAAAATTAGTATGCTGAAGTAGCCTATTTACCAAAGTCCTATGCTTTTCTAGCCATTCGGTATTTGCACATATATTCTATTTAAAGGGTAAATCAGAAAAATATCAGAAAACTTTTAATCTCAAAAAACCTGAAGACATCCTTGCTAATTAAATTCATTTAAATCTCTAGTATATGTTTAAATTTCTTTACACGGGTGTGTTGGCTTACTATAGACACAGGTTTGACATGATAAGCAAAATTTATTTATCACAAGTCATATATAGTGTGATACATGTCAAAAATTGTGGTGCGTAGGTGCGCTACATAGAAGTGAAGATTGTTACATGTCATTAAATATTGTAAATATGTAATTTGCCTCTTTTAATATATTCAGTTATCACAATGCAAATTGATATGCCTTAAAAGTCATATAACCAAAAAACAGGTGAACCATTCTGTGAAAATTGCAGTAGTTACCATGATGATGCTAGTTCCAAAAACCTTTATAGTATGTTACTTGCATTCTAAATATTGAGAAGTTTCTGTTTCCTGGGCTTTATCTCCAAACTGTAGCATGCTTTTCCTGGCACCTTTCAGATGTGAATTTCTTCTTAATCACACTTTGACACAAAGAGTTTATGGGAAATTTTGCCAGCCTGTAAATTAAAATATGTTGACCCATGAATTAAGATACATTGAAATGTGTAATGTATCTATGTGTGTAATATCTCAACTGTGCAGTATAGGGAAATGCAATTTAGATATTTAACTTCTGGAAGTTAAAGTTGGATCAGATGTTCACTCAATTCTGAAATAATGTAGGTAATTCAAAAGTGTTCTGTGCTTACTGTAGTGCCAAACAGTTTTGATTACAAATTCAATTCACCTGATTTCAAAGAATTGCAGTAGGATATGGTCTGAAGTGTGGCATAATTCAGCATGCTGTGGAAAATGTGGAATTTTCTGTCTTCTTGTATTCATATAATTAAAATGTATAAGACAGCATTACACCATTCTATAGTGATGATTCTATATTCTAGTTCATTGAAGTCTAGCTTCATCTGAAGGATGTAACTAGATTTTAAAGGTTATGTATACAGATATAGACAGACATAGCTATTGATAATTTATGCCTTCAAAAAAGGGCTTTTTGGGAGAGTGTTGAGGGAGTATTTTTGTGGTTAAGTTGTGGGGATTTGTTTTTCTCCCATGGAGATGCAAACTTCTTGATCTACACCTTTGAGATGTCCTATTTTTTTTTATCTGCCACGCTTGAGAGCTTAATGAATTGGAGTTTTTTAAAAGACTGCATATTCCTCAATACTTAAGTAAAGATGACCCTTCATCCAAAACAGTGAGCTTTTCAAGAAGCTTCCCTCAGATTCAAATTCTGCAGCCAGTATCTTGATTGGAAAACAGTATCTATACATAGCTGATTTTTCTAGAAGTTCCAGTTTGTCTTTTTCTCTGAATCTCATCTATGTTATTTGAGCTGTCAAGAAGAAGAAGATGGGAAATTAAAAATATGGTGTCCCGTTTTGATTTATTTTTTTTTTTTAAATAAAATATGATTGTGGAGGATGGGTTTGGAGAAAAAAAAAAAAAATCTCTTTTTCTGTTTTTGTTTAGGATTAGGTTTGGGTTTTGTTTGGATTTCTTGTTTTTGCAACAAGAAGTCTTGTTGCAATACCAATACTCAAATTCTAGTAAGGACTATTTATGTAGTATATCTATACAGTAATATACATATAAAAGCTCCATATCCAAGTTTTGTCCAAAATTCTTCACTCAGAAAATGATATAAAAATTTTGCAGAAATTAGAAGTTTACTGTAAAATGGTACTGTGAAAATGAAAGTAGTCGAGCTTGTTGTTGTGTTTGAGTGAGAATACTTTAATCAGCCTATCAAAAAAAAAACAGTGTCCCAAAGGCTGATGATAGAAACAATAGATAATCAAGATGTTATACTTTTCTAGGCTGAAAGAGCTCATTCAGATTCTGTAAATCCCTAGTGTTTAGAAATGCAGAAGAATTTGACATTCAAATAAAGAAATGCTATAACTAGGGGGTATGTAGGAAAATCCTCCTAGGATATAAATGTTTGTTCCCTTCCTCTTTATACCGTATAATGCTACCGTGCGTATATGTTTCTGTCTATGTATAGACATGAACATTTGCAGATTTTCCCCTTCCTAACTTTGCTTCTCAACTGTGATGACAGTTCCCTTTGCCTCTGTAGTCTGAGTTCATCCAATCAAAAATTCAAATGTGAAGTCCTGTGTACTTGCAATTTGAATTTTAAAATCCTTAAAAAATCCGATAATACATCTAGCTGTAATGGATGTAAAACATTCTTCTCCTTAGATGTATCGATGGCCAAAGCCAACTGTATGAGCTTCAACAAGGCCAAGTGCCAGGTCCTGCTCTTGGGCCACAACAACCCTGTGCAACACTACAGGCTTGGGGAGGAGTGGCTGGAAAGCTGCCTGACAGAAAAAGACCTGGGGGTGTTGGTCAACAGCTGGCTAAATACTAGCCATCAGTGTGCTCAGGTGGTCAAGAAGGCCAATGGCATCCTGGCTTGTATCAGAAATAGTGTGGCCAGCAGGACTAGGGGGGTGACTGTCCCCCTGTACTCGGCACTGGTAAGAGCCCATGTTGAATACTGTGTTCAGTTTTGGGCCCCTCACTACATGAAAGACATTAGGTTCTGCAGCAGGTCCAGAGAAGGGCAACTATGCTGGTGAAGGTTCTAGAGAACCAGTCTTATGAGGAGCAGCTGAGGGAACTGGAGTTGCTTAGCCTGGAGAAAAGGAGTCTTAGGGAAGACATTATTGCTCTCTACAACTCCCTGAGAGGAGGTTGTAGCAAGGTGGGTGTTGGTCTCTTCTTAGAAGCAACAAGTGAAAAGGACAAGAAGAGATGTCATCAAATTGTGCCAGGGAAGGTTTAGGTTGGATATTAGGAGAACTTTTTTCACAGAAAGGGTTTTCAAGCACTGGAACAGGCTGCCCAGGGAACTGGTTGAATCTCCATTCCTGGATGTATTTAAAGGTCACGTATTTATGGTGCCTAGGGACATGGTTTAGCAGTAAACTTGCAAGAGTTAGGTTAATGGTTGGACTTGATCTCAAAGCCCTGTTCCAAACAATTCTATGGTTCTGTGATCAATTAAGTAGAAATTGAAATTTGGGGAGAATAAAAGTCTTAAAACCCATTTCATATAGAACTCTTACCAGTCCTATAATCAGAAATTAAATTACTCAAGTTTAAATTTGTGTAACCTTTGAAGCACCAGAAGTGCATATCGTGGAGTTCTTACAAGGCTAAACTCTTAACTTTAATGCCATAATCAGTAACTGTGGCAAACCAACTTTAAGTTCACCTTCTATTTCAGTGGGTTTGCCATGAGTGGCATGCACCCATATTGATATACGTTGGTGAAGGAAATAAATATGGTGGAAAAAAAAGTTTTGATGAATCAGTTGCTGAAGTAAAATCTCACAGGAAGGCAGACATATTTAACATCCAAAGATAGGTATGCATATGTAAATTACTTTAGACTCAATTGGCTATTTTGGTTAAGGTAAGTTGCACTAAATCTTTTTAAAAACACGTGATTCCATTTGTTACATATTGATTGCAGTCCATTAAGTTCATCACAGAAGGAAACAATAGTAGCGGAGTTTTAAACTTTGGTCTTTATTTCACCTGAAATCTATTTTACAAATTTATGCATAAGAACACAGGGGAAAAAAAAAATCTCTTTTTTTAAATCTAATTTAGTATGGAAGGAGAGTACATATGAGTACAGGGTGTTTTTTTGTGTTGCTTTCAGAAGTTATGTTTGTTTTACACAGAAGCCATTTCCATCTTACTGAATGGTGAAATAAGTGCTTTGCATTTTTTGGCATCCATGAGTCCATTAAACCCTGTTGGATCTTTCTTTCCCCTCCACCCCCCCACCTTATCATTCTCTTTGTTTCACTTTTTAGCCTCTGATACTTCCTCATCTTCTCTCTCAAGAACAGAGTCTCCTCTCCAACTGTTTGTATCTTCTCATCTTCCTCATCCTCATCCTAAACCAGATACCTTTGTCTGGCCCCATGCAGCCTCTCCATGCTGTGACCAAGTTCCTGAGCCCTGTACACCTTCTCACTGTAAAGTGGCTTTGTATTCCTGATGGGCATGTTAGCTTGTGCAGTATTTTTCTGATAATCTTCATAGCAGATAAACTGTGTTTGAGCAGTGTGTCAATGAAATCTGGCCTTTCAGATGAGTTTTAAGAGTTTCTTCAGAGTAGACTGTTGTATTGATCCCAAAAGAAGTAAATTTAGATACGCTTTTAATACCCTGTTCTCATGATCATTGCAGAAGATGTGTTTGGTAGAAGAGGTTATTGCCCAGGACTGCTTTGTAGCATTTACTGCTGTAAATTGTTTCCGTTGCTGACAACTTTTCCCTAACAAGACTGTGCTTTCCACAGAATTGCCTTCTTACCTGTACAGTTTTAATGACTTAATTTCAGAAAGCCTTTAGCTAATTGCATCCAAAATCTTCCCTGAGAATTCACAGGAAGGAAGGAAATTGACTAAATTATCAGTGTGTGTTTTCATATTGGAGGTAGGGCATATTGGAATGACTCAGAGGTATCAGAGCTGTGGAAATCAGCACTGTGCTGTTTAAAGTCAAGAGCCATTCTGTCCAATGAAATGACGGCAATTTGAACGTGCTGTAAGTTCCATCTCCATGTTGTTTGAATA